GGGGGGGGGGTGAATTTATTTTTTTTCCTTCAAAAGCTCACCCCCTTAGACTAAACCTCCAATAAGCCCCTGCTCTATTTTTCTGTCTTATATTTTCAAGGCAACTGGGTTTTTATTTTTCCCTGTAAACGAATTTGTTATTGTAAATACGATAATAATTTACATCATTACATAGAATAAGCGTGGCTTTGTCCAGAGCTCGCGATGTCCTTATAATCCTCGGGAACCTTGAAGAGCTGGCCTCAGCCTCGAAGCTCTGGACCGATCTAGAGGCCATCTTAAGGAGCAGAAACCTTGTTGGACAATCTCTTCCTGTGTGTTGTCAACCCCACGGGTCTGTGACCCAAGTTTCAAGTTCTTCTGATCTCCAGTACCTTCAAAATGGCGGCTGTGGAGAAATGTGCGAAATCAAGATGGCGTGCGGGCACACATGTTTAGAAAAGTGTCATGGCGGATCCATCCGCCATTGTTGTGGTAGGGTTTGCTCAAGAAGTTGTAATAAAGGACATCCCTGCAGTAAACTCTGTGGAGAAGATTGTGGAGAGTGCAGTATCAGGTAAGTTATTTCAGCTCCGTTAAATTTTGTCTTTGGATTATAAATATGTTACTTTTTCACAGGGTTGAGGTCAAATTACAGTGCGGACATCTTCAAGATATTCCCTGTTATCAGAGGTATCTTTATTCATGAGAATATTTATCATGGTTCAGTAGTTTTGATTTAAATTCATCTTTAACAATTTTTTCTCTCTTCAGTTTTATTCTTTTAAAAATTGAATTTTACTCATCTGTTTAATGTGTTTTTATTCTCTTCTTTCTAAAGAACGGAGCTGGCTGTTTGTTCTGTTGTCCAGGTTGATTCTCTTTCTTGTGGTCATTCTCAACCAAGACCTTGTGGTACTTCCTCTCAAACTTGCTCTCAAATCTGCTCAAGTCGTCTAGGTAATGCAAGTAGAAGTAAACATTTTGGTTGCGTGGAAATATTTCAAAACTATGTTTTTCTTTTCACTTAACTCTTTAGTAAACAAAGTTTATGTTAAAACTTCCAAGATCTCAATAGTTTTAATGTTTTAGATTTTAACTTTGTGGAAGTTTTGAAAAAACTATTGTTTATCTAGAATGTGGCCATGAATGCTCTTTACTTTGTCATCCTATATCTACCCTTCACACCTGCACCAAACCCTGTCCTAGTTCCTGTGTGAAAGGACACCCCTGCTCTGGGTTATGTGGTGAAGTATGTAAACCTTGCTCCCACCCGGTTCAAGTTCTCCTACCTTGCTCACATCTGGGAAATCTGACCTGCAGCGAAGACCTGGAGAAGTATGAGTGCACAGAGAAGTGCAGTAAAATTTTAGGTGAACTTAATATTAGTATTTTGTATTTTTATCTAAAATTCATAAAATTCTAAAATAAAAACTTTTTCTCCACTGATGGCACACTTTACATGCCATACAATTTTTAGAGTAAACTTTTTCAAGCTTAACTCTCAAATATGTAAACTGTTTGACCTAAATACTCACAATCTCAAAAACATTAAATAAAATGGAAATTTATGTTTTCTAAGATTATTTTTAGATTGCGGGCATAATTGCCGCGCATTATGTTATGAAGACTGTGACCGCAGTTGTAGATTTAGAGGTCAACTTGTTCTGCCCTGTGGTCATTCTGCTAACGGTAGATGTGGTGACCCTCCAGCCTGCTCCAACCCATGTCCTCTCCTCCTGTTGTGTGGACACCCCTGTCAGGAGTCCTGTGGTGCTCTCTGTACAACTAAATGCAAAGAGCCGGTTTCTATAACTCTAATATCTGGGACTAGGACCGAGCAGAGTAGATCCTGCTCCCATACTCCTGTTCTACTCTGCCATGCTGCTAGAGCTAGGGATCAAGATCAGTGAGTTTAATCTTTAATTATATCTCAGTTTGTTTTTCATTCAAAGATTTTGCACATTTCTGAATTTGATCTTGATGGTAAGATCCTTAAATCAAAATAATGATTTTTATAGGATTCCTGAATGTAAAGAGGTTTGCTTTGCCCGCCTTTGCTGTGGCCATCTTTGCTCCGGGATCTGCTCTGAGGTAAGCTAAAAATAATAATAATAATTTATTTTCTTTTTGTAAAGTCTAGGTGCGGACATAATTATACATAAACAATAAACATATGTACACCCAAATATTGTACAGTGTAAAGAATTTGAGCTGCATCTTCCCTGTGTCCAAGCATGTACAAGGACGTTGTTGTGCGGTCATCCTTGTACAAGTATATGCGGTCAGCCTTGTCCCCCTTGCAAGCTGAACAGTTTAATCAGGTCAGAATTTGTATTGAAACCTTTTTAGATCTTAATTGAAAATTGTGGAAACTTTTAAACCATGAAGTTGTAAACTTTTATCTTTTTAAATGATTTGATCATTTTAAGTTTCTTAATAATGAGTATTAGCTGGAAAGTGTTTGAAAAATACTAATTTGAAAAGTTTAGGTGTCCTCATGTAAAAGCAAAAAACAAATGCGACGAGTTACCTAAACCCTGTAAAGAAAAGTGTGAGTGGAAATGCGAGCATAAAAAGTGCACAAAGAAGTGCTCCTTGGATTGCAACCGAACTCTCTGTGAGGAAAAATGCCGAATAAAATTAAAGTGCGGACACTTATGTACAGGGTACTGTGGAGAACTGTGTTTATGTACAGGTAGGAAAACAAAATGAATATCCTAATATAAAAACTTTTGGTTTTTTTCTCCCGTTTCCAACTTTCTGCCGGCCACTTTTAATTTATACTTAACATCTTAACTTAACCACAAAATCTGATTTTCTAATTCCTATATCTAACAACCCAATTTTTGAGACCTTAGATATTTTAAACTATGAATTCTGTTTGATCATATAATCTAAGTTTGAAGCATCTAAGATTTACTCTATCAGGTTAAAGATATATAGAGATTAGATCATTTGAGTTTGTTCAAAGATTCAATTCCTTTGTAGTATGTTCTGGTTCTGGGGAAGGATCAGGACCGTGGATAAACCTTGGTTGTGGTTGTGCTCTGACCTATCCTGTCTTTAAACCTGACTCCAGGTACAAGTTTAACTAGGGAGGAATAAACCTTACTCTGGGTACTAGTTTTATCAGGGGGGTGGGTTGAACCTAAATCGGGACTTCAGCTACTAGTTTTATCAGGGAAACCCGCTCTATCCCTCCTCTACTCAATACCCCATCCCCCCTACACAATACCCCTCCCATCCTCATCTAACTCAATAACTGAATATAAGCATGTAGAACTTATTGTTTGCCTATCTATTCTTTATTTTTGTATTTTTCTAGACTTTTTAGAAAATTTAATTCCAGAATTCGTAAAGATTTAAATTCATCCATGATGTTTTAACTACTTCTGTAATTTAGTACACTGATGGAATAAATCTTGTCCTGGATTATTATTTAGAAATGTAACCCCCGGGATTTATTGAAAACTTGAAAAGCATAAACTTTTGATTTAATTTGTCTGCCGTGGTTCAGGAGCTGTATGAGAGACTAAGTATCCAGGGACCAAATTTAATGAATTTGAAGGGGTAACTAAACTGCTTTCCGCAGGTTCAAATTTGAATTACCTACTGAAATCCTTAATGAGACCGAATTTAAAGATTTTTTTTGCCGCCAAAAACCGGTTCCATTTAAGCGCCGGCTCAAATCTAGTTTTAACAATTATTAAAACTTCCAGCTGAACCAACCATGTGTGAACCGAGACAAATTCCCTAATTTCGGCCTCTAACTCTCTAACTGATCCATGGTTCAAATTTGAACCGGAAGTAGGTAGTTCAGCGACGTAGCTGAAATTCATTAAATTCGGTCCCAGGTTGAGATTTCTGATCTTCTCTTCTCCTTCTCTACAAGGGTTGAGGAGAGAAGGAACTACCTCTTCTCTCTGGTATCAGGGATGAGTCTTGATATTAATATCTACATAAAAAATATTCAACCCTCTTGTTTTTAACAAGGTTTAAAAATATTTCACAAGAATACATTTGAAAAAAACATTCCATAAGAGACCTATAAAACTGTGAAATACGAAGGCGCTGGCCACAGTTACGTAATCTTATATTTATTTAAATAATAAGGAAGAAGTTTTAAAAATTGAAAATCAACATATTAGATTAAATTGGTCTTCTGTATACCGCACAGTGCACAATTGCTGTGTTTTATTTTAACTTGAGTGCAACATTCGTTTTCCTATTCCACATTGTTTTATCATTTTTACTGTCAGTGCAATTAGGATCCATTACATTTTGATGCGGATCCGGGTCCGGGTCCTGGATCCGCACTGGAAAAAATTGGACCCGGATCTAGGTCACGAACATTTCTTTTAGATTTACTGATCTGTTGAACACAAGAAGAATTTTCAAATAAGTTTTCCTCTTTTTTCACTTATTTTTTTGCTAAAACTTGATGAACCATTTAAAAATTTTTGATAGTTAATCTTTTTTAAAAAGTTCAGATTTGGTTTTTTAGAGCAAACTTTTTTTTACAATATTTGGTTGATATTTTGCCCCTTTGAATCCGGATCCAGGGAGCCAAAATTTTGCGGATCCAAGGGATCCGGATCCTATTCACTGTTCTATACATTCTCTAATTTTAAAGAAGGAATTTGAATTTTCAATAAATATGACAAATTTTAAATAAAATTGGCTTTATGATTTTAACAAAATATAAAATATCTGCTCTGGTGTATCAGGGATAGAACGTCCTGAGGTAAAATTAAGTTGTGAGAATATCCTGGGCAGGCTGGAGCCAGGTGGAGTCAAGTTGAAGAGTATGGAGCTCAACATGGTGGAGCTCCAGGTTCAGGTTCTAGGGATCCTGGAGCAGGATCCACAATTCAGATCTTTATCCAGAAGAATATCTTCATTCCGAAGTTTTAGGTAATAGAACTGATAACTCGATCCTAACAAACAATAATTTTCTAATCCTTATGATTTATTTTAGTGCTGACACTCTAAGAGAACTTCTAAAAATAATCGGCTCTAGAAATAATGATGTCTACTCCAGGTTGGATTTACATTCCAAAATATTTTGATAAAATTTACTTTTAACATTAAAATGCATACAGTGTGTCCCATTAAACCTTAGTTGTTAAACAGATATAGATACACTTAAACATAGACGTCAAGAGAAGCTTTCAATTTAAAAAGCTTCTCTTTGATTACTTGTAAACTTGTAATTCGAAAAAGCTTAATAACAATTAAAAATTGAATAAAACAGTCGTCTTCATTGTATTGATATAATCACCTACCACTGTACACATAGTTTGCACTGAGTTTCGAACAGAAGTCATGGTTTTAAGATATTATTATTTTGATAAAACTTTTCTTAATCATTGCAAGTTTGTTATTTTAATCAAATGAGTTAAATGCAGGGTTACCCAGAAAGGATGAGACTGTAAAGGCGACCCAAAAGTCTAAAAATATGACGATTTGAAGCTTGCTTTTTGGTTTCTGGATTTAATGCAGTATTTTGATGGTTTACGAAATGAATACGCGCAGAAATAAACGCCTTTTTCCTTTCAGGAACCATGAGTGCAAAAAAACAAGACCAAATAAATTCCGTACAATCGTCCCTGAAGTCTCATCCTTTTTGGGTATCCCTGTATGTTCTGATTTTTTATCTTATTTTTCGGTCGAATGTGAACTCTGGTTTTAGATTAGAGAGCCTACAGATCCTGAGTTATGAGTCTGGATTATGGAAATATTGTAGAACTTGTCAAATCATCTACAAGCTCAGTCATCATTCATGTAAACAGGGCAACCAGCCTCAACCTCAAACCTAACTAATTTAAATTAATTTTAAAAAATTGGATTATCCTTTTTAACCCTCCTCCCCCCGTTCCCCATCTTTGTAAGACTTGCGATATTTTTCATTAAATGAATAGAATAAATATTTTAAATGTTCCTTTAAAAAAAATAATTACTATTTATATGGGAATGAGCTCTAAAGCAGAGGGAATGACTTCTCTAATTAAGTGGGAATGAAGTTTGAAGTTTGGTACATTTTTTGTGCTAATTGGTCGAGAATAATTTATAGGGTGTTCAAGAAAATGTAATTTTTTGTTTGTTATAATTTTTGTGTTTCACAATTTAGGAAATATAGCTTTGGTGAAATCAAACTAATATTTCTTTTTATCTGCGAGAGTTTATTTTGGGACACCCTGGATGAGATGAGAACAAAACAATGAGTTTGTGTAGCTGATGTATACTGTTTAGGAAATGAGACATCAGAACCTTTGATATTTCATACTTTGATGATTTGATCTTTGTAAAATCAGCAAAAAAGTTGATAATCGTCAACTTTGGAGAATAAAATTGGTCAAAAAAAAGTAAAATATAATTATGTGTTCAAGGGAGTGTTCGCGCAAAATGAAAGGGGGTATTTTTTTTTTTTTTTAATAATATTCAGCTTACAATTTGTTTTCGAACATTCCTGGAAAATATTAAAATGTCGTCTTCATTACCAAAAATCCTCGAAACAGGAATAAATGTTTTTATAAGTAACTCTCAGATCATAACAATTAAAACATATTATGAAAAATCAACTATATACAAATGTGGCGAAAGATAGTCGATGACTATAGGTTGTATAATATCTGTATGATTTGTTTGAAATTAAAGTGATTTTTTTACGGTCTAAGTCGTATGTTGCATCTTTCTGAATTTGTATGGACACTACGTTCTTCGGTATTCGTCGTTTTTAACAATTTTCTCCTTATAGACGCAACAGATAGAAGTAATATTAGTAGCGATCAAAAGCGCTTTTTTATCGCATTAAGCCTATACCCCCTTTCATTTTTCGCGAACACTCCCTTTAAAGAACAGAATAAGAAAATTATTGTTTAACCCCTGATAAAATTCGAAATATTTGTACATTGAAATGCTCCCGATAATCACGTATTGTTGACAAATTAATTAAGAGCAGAAAAGGATGCAGATTTTGTTTTCCGCTCATTTTTGCTAATTCTTATGCGTCATGACCCAAACTGAGTTTGCAAAATATTAATTGATGAGTTTGAATTCCTAAAAAGGTTTGAAGATAATTTGTGACGTTGATTATAGTGCAATTGCCAATTTCCATTTCAAACCCAAACAATTCCGTTTTAGATTAGCTCTTGATTAAAAACTAAATTCGTATTGAGAAAATTGCCATTTCAAATTCTGGTTTTGCTTCTAGAAGAAAACTCAAATAAATAAATCAATCTGAATACTGTACTGCGTAGTAGTTCCGTTAATCATTTATTTTGTTTCTGTGGTCGTTTGAATTGAGAGTAATGGCGGCCATAATAGCATCATAAATCATATCTTACTCCTCATCAAGGATTATATATGTAGGATGCAACTAAACTATTCCTCCAACCAAGGATTATATAAGTAGGATGCAGCTAAACTATTCCTCCAACCTAGGATTATATAAGTAGGATACAACTAAACTATTCCTCCAACAAAGGATTATAAATTTAAGATATAACCAAACTATCCCTGCAACCAAGGATCATATATGAAGGATACAAATATACTATTCCTCCAACCAAGGATCATAAATGTAGAATATAATTAAACTTTCCCTTCAACCAATAATAATAAGTAATGAGTAATAATAATAATAAGAATAAGCTTTCCTCCAACCATGAATTATATATGTAGGTTACAGCTAAACTATCCTTCCAACCAAGGATAATATAAGTAGGATACTACTAAACTTTCCTCCAAAAAAGGATTATATATGTAGGATACAGCTAAACTATCCTTCCAACCAAGGATAATATGTAGGATTTCATTCAATGACAAATTTTGCCTGCGCCATAACTTTTTTACCTCAAACAATGGCCTCCACCTACTTTATAAGGTATGAATTGTGCCTTTGTGTAACGTGTAATGGTTTTACTTTTCAAACTAAATCCTAGGTTAAGAGGTGTACATGAAAATAACGGGTCTAAACATCACGATATTCTCTATACTACCAGCATTGTCTCAATATTTACTATTCCACACAAACCAGATTGTTTGTTCACTTCATAAACATTAAAATTGTTTTGAATTTCTAATGCAAAACGAGATAAATTTGCCTTTC